CTTTAGTTTTCCTTTAGTTCAGGGTCCCGCCTGGAGAATAGGGTCAATTTTAGTTTTCTTAAGTTGTTAATCTTTAGTTTTCCTTAAGTTCAGGGGTCCCNTAGGGTCAGTTGTTAGTTTCCTTAAGATTTCAATATTTTGTTTCTCTTAAAGTTTAGGGGTCCCACCTGGAGAATAGGGTCAGTTGTTAGTTTCCTTAAGTTTTCAATCTCTAGTTTTTCTTGAGTTCAGGGTCCTGCCTGAAGAATAGGGGCAATTTTAGTTTAGTCAAGCTTAGCTTATAGTTTTCCTTAGGTTCAATCTCACAGGAGACGCACATCCTAGTCGAGTCTTTAGTTTTACTCTCATCATCGCATCCTTCACCAATAGCATATGTGATTTACAGTTTTGCTAACAACTCACAAATCTTCCTAGTGCAAACTGGGGCAGAAAATTTTGTTTGTTTTGTTGTTTTTGATTGCAGGAACCTACCTGGAGAACGAGGGGCAACGTTTCAGAAATTAGTTTCAGGTTCAAATCAGAGAAGCACCAGGATCCCGCCTGAAAAACGGGGTCAACTTTCAATTTTCAAATTCAAGTCAGAGGCATCAGGAGCCCACCTGAAGAACATGGTAAACTTTCAGTTTTCAAGTTCAAGTCGGAGAGGCATCAGGAGCCCGCCTGGAGAACAGGGTCAACTTTCAATTTCAAGTTAGAGAAGCATCAGGAGAATCCCGCCTGAAGAACAGGGTCAACTTTCGGTTTACGAGCTCAAGTCAGAGAAGCATCAGGAGAGTCCCGCCTGAAGAACAGGGTCAACTTTCAGTTTACAAGTTCAAGTCAGAGAGGCATCAGGAGCCCACCTGAAGAACAAGGTCAGTGTTCAGATTTCAATTCTCAAGTTCAAGAAGCATCAGGAGCCCACCTGAAGAACATGGTAAACTTTCAGTTTTTAAGTTCGAGTCAAAAGCATCAAGAGCCTGCCTGAAAAACAGGGTCAACTTTCAATTTCCAAGTTCAAGAAGCATCAGGAGAATTCCGCCTGAAGAACGGGGTCAATTTTCAGTTTCAAGTTTAAGCCAGAAGCAGCAGGACCCACCTGAAGGATAGGGTCAACCTCCAGTCTTTAAGTCAAATCGGAAGCAGCACTAGCCGCCTGAAGGACAAGGTTTGCAAGTTCAAGTCTACTCCAAGTTCAACTTTATTTCAAGTGCAAGCAGCAGGGTGCCCGGCTGAAGAACAGGGTCAACTTCCAGTTTTCTTCAAATTCAAGTCAGCAGGATGCCCACCTGAAGAATAGGGTGAATTTTCAGTTTCATGTTGAAGGAGCAAGTGGAGATTAAAAGGAGATTCAAAACAAGAAGTAGATAGGATCTTGTGTTTTCTTTTATTTTTGCTGTAATTTGTCATTTTATTTTGATCTAATGGTAGGAACCGCGGACCGAAACCTCGACGGCACCTCAATCGGCTCTCCACCTCGGTATACTCCATCACTCTTCCTAATTGTGAACTACACGTGGCCTGATTCCTTTATAGCCAAGGATAAGTAGGCAGCTCAGATACCAGGGCTCGGTCACATTCTCCTCTCTTTTAGTTTTTGGTCTCTCTAAATAAGGGTCGGGTCAAAAAACTTGTCTCGTCGTTCTTTATCTGAAAACTCTTCGTATTTCCAGTCAAAGAGGGGCAGTTGTAGACATTTAATTTTTTACCCTCCCCAAGATTTTACACATTTTAGCATTTAAATATTTAGTTTAGCTCTAATATCGCTAGTTTAACTAGTTGTGACTCTTTTGCTTTATTTTATCACAAAAATATTTTCTCTTATTTAGCTAATTGATATTTTATTTAGTTACTTTTAGTTTATTTACCTTTCATAAAATTAAAATAAATAAATAAATAAATACAAAAATAGTATTGATATTTTACTTTTCCAAAAAAAAAAAAAAGAAATAAGAAGAAATTTTTGGACTAATTTTTGTCTTGTTTTTATGTGAGAAGATCACAATTTTAAGCTTGAGTTAGCCCAATATTAAACCCATTATATCTGAGCCCAATACCCAATTGACCCAACCCTATGACCTAAGAGACCTAATTCTAAAAAGGGGACCTAATCACACAGAAGAAGCTTCAGCCGTTTCTATCATCTTCAACCCCAAAAAGACACCCTAAAAAAAACCTGAAGACCTTAAGCTTCATCAACAGCGGCTCACCACCAAAAGCCATCAGCGACCAGATCTCCATAACCAACTGTGACCCTCACCCATCTTCCTCACGCCGAAAAACACACACACACGAAACAGACCAGCGACCAGACTTCCTTCCTCACCTCTATCGCCGCCGCATCTCCCCCACTCCAAAACCGCCGGCCACCCTTCTTCTTCACACCACCAAACCAACAATCACCTTCACCAACCTTAATAAAATAAAAAAAAAGAACGAAGTCAGCCGCAATATATACAAGGGTTCTGCTTCTTCAGAAAAAGGAAAAAATCAGTGTTCTGTCCTTCTCGACTTTGATTTTTTATGTTTGGTTATGGAATTCATTTGAATTTCAGAGTTGTTGCTTCTTCTGATTTTAATGGAAATTGGTTCAATTCTGCCCATATGGTGTTTGTTTGAGTGATCGAGCTGCCAATCGAGATCCGTTCGTGGCTACTCGTTCGTGTTGCATTTTGGTTGCTGTCTACTTCATATTTCACAGCCGGATTCATTTGTATTTGATTCCAAACGAAATTAATCGAGCTTCGTGCAATCAGGTTCAATCTCCTTCTCTTTTCTTATATCTGTCTAGGTGTCGATTGAAAATATGATAAGAGCCATGGGAATCCATCTATAGACACAGGTCTTTGATTAATTTCAGTAGAGGTTGAACTTGGAGTTAGCACTTAGTCTCGATCGTGTTTGGAAATGATATTTGACATGTCGTTTTGCTGTTTGAATCCTGCACTCACTGTTCTGCTTTTCTTGAGCATGCTCAGTTAGCAAAGTTAATTTGAATGGCCGTTTTCTATGCCTTGAATGCTTTTAGCTGTTATTATGGTGCTGAAGTATCTCTCGGGTTAAGATTTTCTCGAGTTGAAATGGACGATCTGTCCGGCTTTATGATTGTTGAATGAGTCGGAATCAGCAATACATATTCTCATGATTTTCTGTTTGGTTCTCTGATTTTCCAGTACGAGTACCTTTTAATGTTAAAATACTTAGGTCATAATCAAATTGGTAGAGTCATATGCATGTTTGTCAATGTTTCAACTGGCTTGCTTTCCTCCGAAAATACACAACAACTTGTTCTTGGTTTCTTCTATTATTAAAGGCTGATCATATTGCCTTAAGGAACTGAAATAGAAGATCTATGTTAAGGAACTGAAATGGTTTCATTGAGAAGTTTAATTGGCTGAAAAATTGCTTTTTGTGTGCGGTAGAGTTAGCATAGAATTATGAAGTTCCAGTTCTATGATTCAAAATTAGTACTTCTGAAGAGTTCTTTAAAGCTTAATTTCAAATAACACTTGCTTCAATTCTAGTCATTTGGCAATTTGGTTGTTGTTTTCGACCGATGTACTGGATCTTTGAATTTTGGGTAAAGTCATTAGATTCTGGGCCATTCCATGGGAATTATAGTCCAAAGTTCCTCCTAGTTTGGTATGCTCTTCGAAATTTACATGGTTTAATAGGGGAGTTATGGCTTTTATCATATTTTGAATCCACTATTTTTCTTAATTCTTCTCTTTTTTTTACATGTCCTTTTGTGCTATTGATGCTTTGTTTGGATTGTCTCCAATGATTTTGGGCCGTGGGAGTGGAGAATGACCAATGCCCATTAGTAATCAATTGGGTTACGTCCTTTTAGAATTGGGCTTGGTCAAATGCATGAAATAAGAAGTTAAAAGGAAATGAGCATGAAATTAATTTTTATTTCTTTAGTTTTATTTATTTTACTTTTATTACATTGTCCGTTAGGAGTATGCTTAGGCCGACCACACCTCGGGTAGGCAAACTTTAGGATGCTTTATTTTTTTTAGAGGTGAGAGATCGTTCCCTTAGTTCATATCCAGGGGAATGCCCCGTAGACTTTGTATATATTATTATTATTATTCGGGGTATGCCCCGTAGTACATGTATTTGGAGGCCGAGGCTACACTATGGAGGAAGTATAGTGTAGGATAGCTTAGGATTCTTATTTTGTTTTATTTTTATTTTTCTTTTATTAGGTGGGGACGACCTCGAGCTTCTTTTGATTGTTTATTTTCTTTTTGTGTATTTTTACCTCGATTTTGAATATTTCTGAAAGCCAATTAGATCGAGTATGCAACCGTACTAGTTACGGGACTTGGGAAGTGCCTAACACCTTCTCCCCGAGTCAAATGAACCCCCTTCCCCGAATCTCTGGTGCAGACTTAGTTTTGGAGTCAAAAGTGTTTTAAAAGGAAAAATCATTTCTAAAAACGGTACCTGACACACCGAAATCAAATGTCAGGTGGCGACTCTGAAAAATCCTTTTGAACACAATTTTGTCACTTTCGAATTTGAAAACCTTTTTGAGCTTACAAATCACTTTATTATTTTAAAGGGGTTAGTGAGGTGTAAAAGGGGTGTGACAGTAACAAAAAATTAATACTTTTTATCATATAGTCCTACATAAGTCATCAAAAATCACAATAAAGTATATAAGGATTTTTACATTGCAGTATTCTTTATTTATTGAACTAGCTAAATTGGATAAACATTTATCAATTTTAGGAACTTATATTTTCTTCTAATTTTTGTTCAATAGCTCAAACACATTATTTAATAATAATTACTTAATTTTTTAAGATTGTATATTTACTTATATAGGGTACACGCGCAAAGCGCATACCATAAGACTAGTTTAGTTAATACTAAGACGAGGTAATCGCAATACAATTGGTCAAGCTTTCTGCTCTAACCTTTATGTTAAATGAAACTCGTTAAAAATCTATCTACGCACTCTTTTTATTTCCTCTTCCTATTTCTTTCATCAGATTTAATTTGAACAGATATAAATAAAAAAGATAGTGTCGATAAAGTGATAGTAATAAAATATATAAGTACAAGCAGACCTTCGTATCTTTTACACCAGGAGAAGATAAAGAGAAAAAAAGAAAAAAAGAAAAAAAAAATGAAGCAGCCCGAAAATCAACCATTACCAATTGTATAAGACCATTGGTAGTTACTCCTCAACTGGCAATGAAGATCCGGCTTGCATTGAAATCATAATCAGGCCATGATCCCTGCACCAAAAAATCAGCATTTATAAAATAAAAAATGTATGGATTTAAGTTATATACATTAACATGTATAAATCTTTATATTATTAGGTTCCTAATTAACGTAATGTCATAAAAAATTACATGTAATTAACTTATAAGTGAAGTGATTGTGCAAATACATTTTACATCGTAGCGCAAAGGAATGTGGATTTAAGTTTATGTACACTAGCGTGTAAAGATTTTCTTATATAGATGGTTGTTATAAGCTAGTATATTAGTTACACTCTCCAGTCCACTTTAATTAATTTTTTGGCTGTTTGCACACATATTAAGCTGGCGTTTGGACATAGATTTGGTTGAAATTTGAGAAAAAAAATTAAGTTGTGTTGGAAAATAAATTTTGAAAGTTGAAGTTATGTTTGGACATGCATTTTATTTGAGAAAAAAGTTGAAGTTTTGTGAGTGGAAGAAAAAATTTCACCCAAAAACTACCCTAAATTAGTTTTTGGGAACTTAAAAAAAAATTCAGAAATTAATCATATTCTATGAGCAAATAATATTTTTAATTTTTTTTTAAAAAAAATAGCCAAAATCTATCGCCAAACGGGAGCTAAGGAATCCTCCTTTTAACATTAATTAGTAATAAAATTTACCATATTAACCTTTATTGTCTCTTTATTTGTTCATTGAAATATAATAGATATTCCGAGACTTTTCACTCCAAGGATAACTTTAGAAAAAAGAGGTTAGTTCTTTCTTGATATATGAAAAAATAAATATTGCGGACCACCAAAAAATGTCAAAAAATCAACTAAAGTAGACTGGAGGGAGTATTATTTTTACAAGATTCTTCATTAATATTTATCATACAAATTTACCTATAATTACTGTATAAATGATCTGATTATATAAATACTTTAATTCCAATTAATACATAGAAGTTAAACACAAAGAAATACAAAGAATAGAAAAGGAAAGAACATTACCAGAATCATTGTGATGATCAGTAGGGTGAAATCTCTGATGGTTCTCCATACATTGCAAAAGAAACTTGAAAGTCTCAATCTCACAAGGGATAGTAAGTCCACCACTATGATCAAACCCAAATTCTTCCTCAACTTTTTCCAACAACACTTTAAATAAAGGGTCACTAAGATAACTTGTAGGAATAATAAATCTCCTAAGTTCTGGTCCAACATAAACTGCTAAATATCCTCTTGGTACACCGTGAGGCGGTTCGGGACTCTGGCAATTATCCTCGTCCGAATCTCCCCAGTATATGCCGGAGCTCCGTAGTCTCTTGCTTATAGATGGTGATATGCCTCCATAAGAATTATTTTTTCGATTCGAGGATTTTACACGATCGAGTTTTTGGTGGTTTTTCCCCTTAGGGCTAAGTGTTACATTTTGCCATTTATGTAACAATTGTTTGAGTCTCACAATTTGTCTAATTCCTGTCACTTTGGTTCCTCCTCCATGTTCATCCATTTTCTTTTGCTAATTGCCACAACAAGATTGATGATGAGAAAATACTTAGCTGAATTAGTTGATAATTACAAGGCCTTTGATTTGCTCTCATAGAATTTGACTCATCAGATCTTGTTGCACTGCAATTTTTTCATTTATATAGGATTATAATGCATGCACCATTATCAATTCTAATTCTAAATTTCATGGGAAGCAATAGCAGGAATTCTGACATGTAAAATGTAGCTAAAAAGGAAATTAAAAAGGACAAATTTACAAGAATTTATCTACATGAATTTGATGCCCTAAAACCCTCCGGGATCATTTGGTCTAAAATCAGGTTTAAAATTGGCCTGCTCATCTTGACCTAAAAATTTTGGATAAATTATTACCCAACTCTTTCATTAATTCGACTGATGCTATCCAGATTAACAGATCATTATTGCATATTTCTTTGTGATACGCAATCATCAAAAGAAAGTGGAAAACAAATAAACAAGACGATCAGATCAGAGAAATTCATACAATAATATAAGCAGATAAAACATGCCATGCATATAAAACACAGTCAAGCTAATGCTAAAAATATGGAGTGTGTATATATATATATATATATATATATATATATATATATATATATATATATATATATATATCACTTATTCCAAACATTTTTTTTAAAATTTTTAAAAATTATAACGAAATTTCTATTTTATTGCACATGGAGTTTTAAAACATGCGAATTCATTAAAAAGGAATCGTGTCCAATGGGTTGGTATGACGAAAGTCATTATACAAGAGAACGTCAAATATTTTTCTGAAAAATATTTGCCCGATGAGTAGAGAATATTTTCGAAAAATATATTAAAATTTAATAATAATGTTAACAAATTTGTGTGTGTTTTGAAAAATATTTGTGTACTAAAGATCATTAATAATAATGTCTAGGTGTTTAGATAGAATAAACAACTAAAAAGTTATAAGGAAAATGATTTCTACCGAAAACGAGGAAAATCTTTTTTTTCCTTTTGATAAACATTTTACGGTAACTACACGCTAAAACAGATTTTTCAAGGAAAACAATTTCCAGAAAAATAACTTTCGTCATTCATTCTAGAGGAAAGGAATAATAATTGAGACATACAGTTGATTTCATGTTCAGTTGGGGAGTCAATTACCAGAATATGACGAGCTAGAGGAAGCGAAAATAATAAAAAATCACCATCTTATGACCATAGAAAATATGAGCTCTGAATGCCAAAATAAGTATGAGCTGCTAATCTAGTTAATTCTTCTTGTTTAGATAACGAGTTTTCGCCTTGGAAGAGATGATACATATATAGATAGATATTTCAGAATTCACTAAATAGGATAATGATTCTGAATAAATAGGATGCAAATTATATAACTTCCAAGACATGAAATTAGATCTCTTTTTTTGCCTTTTATACGTATTCATTCTTTGTCGCAGTAATTTTCTCCCCAACCTATGGTTTTACTACGTTTTTGCTTCTTCCTTTTCCTTTTTATCCGGTCATCCACCCGATTTACTCTAGTTCATACATTAATGTCTTTTTGGAAATCGTACACTATAAAAGCGAATTAAAGTGGAATCTCTCGTATTAGCATATTTCCGCAATAATTCTAGGTGAAATTATACATTTGGTCAGTCAGAAAAAAATATTACAACAGCTAACCAATATACATATATATAATATATTATACATATATCAAAGGCGTCTCAATAAAACCATGGCTTAAAGCCAAGTTTTAATAAGGGGCCTTAATTTTTTCTCTTTTTTGTCCATAGTATATTTATTTTGTAAAAAATAGTATTAATATTACATTTCTTTCTTTCTTTCTTTCTTTTTGTCTATAGTGTAGTATCTTATAAAATATAATATTAATATTAACATTGGTAAGATAATTCACATTAATAAGATGTTAGCCACGTATTTACAATTCATTACCTTGGATCTTATTGTTAAAGACGTTATTTATCAATATGAAGATTTGAGTATCTTAATTCAAAGTTCTAAAATACTTCTATTGTTAGAAAATAGATAGTCTTTCTTTCCATTTTTATAAGGATTTTGTATTCTTTTTCTTTTTTTTCTATAAACTTCAATATTGTCTAAACGAAAATAAGATAGTAAATTCACAACTAGAAATATTTGTGGTGCCCAAAATTTAAAGGGCCTAAAGCAAAGGCTTTACTAGCTTCCCCTTGGACCACCCCTGACATATGTGTATATATACATCGATTATTATAAAGGTGGGCAGTGTAAAAATCCCATAAATTTATGACTATTATTATTGGTCATGGATAAAAAACAAAGAATGTCATATATAGATGATGAATAGAGTATAAAAAGTACTAATAAAATAAATACACCAAAAGCAAAAATTTATAGAAGAAATCAAGAAATAATTAAGCATGGAAAAAATAGAGAATTAAAGAATGGAGTATGATTTATATTTTAAATTTTGAAAATTAAAGAATAAATTGAAAAGAAGAGAAGTGCGCATATAATTAGGTATATTTCATGAGCAGCCAAAGCAAAGATAGAGATAGACGCGCGCTATATTTTTTGCACTGGTTTCAACTTTTGTATTAAAGTGGAATATAAGAAATAAAGTTGGAGGGCCAAAATGGAATATATAAAATAAAGTTGGTGGGTCAAAATGAAACAAGATAGAGATAGAGTCAAAATGAAAAATAATGCTAAGTTGAATGAGTTGTATATGTATGTGGCCCTTTTTTTCCCCTTCTTTCTACATGACGATGACAGCAGCTGCATTTACTTCTCTTCACAAAAATCAAGGTCTAACATGAAATTGTTTACTTATATTTAACGAAAGGTTTTCGTTTTCTGCTTTTTCTTATTATGATTATCATAGGCTGTTAATCATTTTTTACTTTATGAAGTACTCATCAAATACTAGAACATAAAGCAGATTCATTTGAACTTGTATTCATCAACAATATATTATTGTTTTTGCTTTCACAATGTAGAGGTAAGGTCTGTGTATACACTACTTTCTTTATACTTTACTTGTAAAAATACATTAGGTATATTGTTGTTGTTGTTGCGGAGATAGTTCCTAGTGATAGATTTAATTTAGATTTTATAGGCACCGTATTCTATTTGTGCCAAGCTTTCAATTGTCTCATGAGCAATGATTTGATTCACATCTTGTAGTGGTTAGTTAATATATATTCCATCCACCACTTCACGTGAAGTTTGAATAGGCACATATTATAAGAAAAGAAAAAAAAGATTTTTAAAATTTATGGTCTAAAATAAGTTATAAATATTATGTAGCTATAAATCATCTTATTAAATATTCCTTCCGTTTCAAATTAAATGAGGTAATTTGACTCGGCACGGAGTTTAAGAAAAAAAAGAAAGACTTTTGAAATTTGTGGTCTTAAAACCTTAAGGGATAAAGCTTTGTGGGGCCATGACTTTCGTGTGGTTATAAAAGCTTCTCATTAAGGGTAAAATTGGTAAAATGAGGAGTTTAAAGTTGAATTATTTCAAAATTTAGAAATGTATCATTTATTTTGGAACAGACTAAAAAGGAAAGTACCTCATTTAATATGAAACGGAGGGAGTATACAGAATAAGAAATTTAAAATTAAATTATTTACTATATTATAAAATTATAATTTTAAAACGGACTAAAAAGAAAATGTTATCACATAAAGTAAAATGGAGAGAGTAATAAATATAACCTCTTCAGACCCCCCTCCCCCCCCCCCCCCCCCAAAAAAAAAAAAGCTTCTTACTTCTTGATTTGCCTCGGGGACACAATACAATCCTTAGTTTAAATTGGGCATGGGAAATTGTAAAAATAGCACGGGCTAGCCAGTTTACGGACTGGTAATTCAAAAATAGCCAGCGTTTGCAAAGTCAATGAAAAATAGTCATTATTTTGCTGCAACAGGGACCGGTCTAGCATAATACACTGGAGATCAGTGCACCTATGTATGACTTCCAGCATATTATGCTGGAACTCCAACACGCGGAAAGTTCCGGCATAATATACTGGAAATTGGAGCACCTGTGTATGAACTTCCGGCATATTATACTGGACCGGTATATTATACTGGAACTCGAGTATATTATGCTGGAGTTCTAGTATACTTATGCTGGAACTCCATTATATGCTGGAGTATTTTTCGAATTTTGAACAGTGCATGAAAAGTGGCTAAATTTTGATTACTTTTGAAACTCTGGCTATTTTTGAATGACCACTTGTAAATCTGGCTATTTTTTAATTGTCCCGGGGAAATTTGTTTACAGTACATGTTTAGTGCTTCGGTAGGAACTATTTTTCAAGTTTCTATTTTTTTTTATATAAGAAAAAAATAATGCGAGTATGATTACTATAAGGAAACTATTGACTTGTTCCTCCTCAATATAATGACAGCCATATTATACTATACTCTGTGATCAATTTCCCAGCTCATGTTTGAGATTTGAGAGTTGGGGAATGATAATAAGTTAGTAATTCACTATCCTTGCCCACAATATAAAGTATCCAAGCATTTTACGTGTCTTATAGCTGAACAGAATATATATTTTTAAAATAAGACCTATCATTTTGCAGGAAAAAAAAAAGATTCTATAACGTGGTTGAGTGATAAGTCCTTCCAAATGATTCTTGAAAAAAGTCATGATTCTCCATAAGGAACGGTATTACTTTGAAAAATCTTAATCCATATCTTTAAGAATGAGCTTTTGGTCAGAAAAGTGTTAAATAAAAAGAAAAAAGACATTATTTAAACCTAAAGCAGTCAACGAAAGAATATAAATTAAAAGACGAGGCGTTGTTCAATTATTTTGAGACGCTTTCACTTTCAACCAATAAAATGGAAGTTCGAGTTCATGGATATACGTGGGGAACATCTGTTAATCCTCTAAGAAGCATCTGAGGATATGACTCAGTAGGGGAGACGTGGTTAGGCGCTGGTGGCACAGTAGCATCTGTTTAAGGTAAAGAGGTGACGAGGGGTGCTAACTCGGCCACCCAATCCACTTTGTTTACCCTTATAAATGGATAACAATTGAATTTATACGCAGTTTTAAAGATATGTGGACTAATTCAATACAAATGATTAATGACGTTAGATAAGCAAATTAAAAACGAAATAAACAGTCAAATCAGTAGTAATGTTGGATCCGGGATCGTCTATAAGCATAGCAGGTAACCTGCCTTTAGTTCGGAGCCAAACACTTATATGAATAAAATCAAGAACTTTGAATAACCTTTTAGGAGCAGAGAAAACAAATGTATATTGCCTTGATATATGTGTTACACTGTGCCTAATGAATAATCAGCTTCCCCTTTATATAGTAGGGGAATTTTACCCTAAGTACAATTCTAAGAAAGGTAAAGATCTTCCTTTTCGCTAATCGCTGATCCACCGCCGATATGGGCCGCGATTCACGCAGTGATATCAAGTTGGACACGAGTATCACGGTCCTTCGTTAATCGTGCACGGCAGTTTGGTAATGCTCTCTGAGGTCGTGGAACTCGAACTGGACCCGGGGGCATGGTCTCGATGGTTCCAAGTGCAGGTGTTTTGCTCGGACCTTGACGCGAGAGGCTCCTGGCCTCGATTCCGACTCCTTGCAGTCATGTCCTTGCTTCGTTTGCTTCACCGGGAAATCGGGGTACTCATTAGCCTCAGTTTTACCCATACACAGATAGTCTCCTCGTTTCTCAGAGAGTAGGTTTGCCGAAACGATAGAAAATGATAGATGCTCTCCGGTTCCTTCCTTCGGACGTTACGACGAAGGAGCCGAAACGTCCCATCAGCCCCGTCATTCTGACTTCGGACACGTGTCATTCATCGGCTGGTTGCCTCCGATTGCGAAGCATCGCCTACTTCCCTATAAAAGCTTCCATCCTTTGTTCTTTGGCAAATTGGCCTCCGGGCCACCTAAAACTTGCACCCATTTGTCAACCCGGTAAATAAACTTACGATTTTTCTATTTAAACACCTCTACTTGATAAAATGCCTACTAATAAACATAGTTGACCGTTGACCATGCTTATGTAACAATCACAATGCTAATATGGTAATGATGCGTGTCTATCACGCTCATAGAGAGCGTGCATTTGGCGATTTTAGTTTTGTTAGTTTGATAGTTAAATAGTAGTAAATAACCCTAATCTCATATGTATTAGGAGTAGGACATGTATTATATATATAGGGCTCATTGTATCATTGTCATTATTAATCAAGAATATTTTTCTCCCGTGCTTTCTCACATGGTATCAGAGCTTTGGTGAGAATAGATCGCTGTGCGTCATTCCAGCGGCATCCGGGAAGAAAGAACTCAGTCACCGTGAGATTTTTCGGTGACCTAAGTGACTATTTGCGTCAAAGTCACTAATT